TAAATAAGTACAAGGTGCTGAAGAATCAAGCTCTGCATACAGGGCCAGCATTAGATGGGCTGGTCTCGTTTTAAAAACAAAATAAATAAATAGTGCTGGAAAATAATACTTATTTGACAGCTACAGAGCAGGTATAGCACAAGCAGCAGCAATTAAATCAGCCTCCCATTGTGCCCTGGAGCCGGCTTATCCTTGATAATGGGGAACTGCTTCCCAGAATGAGCGTTCAGCCTTGGTGCCCACTAAGACTTTGGCCTCCCCACCACACCCCAGCCACACTTAATGCCAGTCTTAGTGGTTTGCTTTTGCACTCTTGATGGTTGCCCTGTAGGAACTGGCCTGAGAATCCAGACACCCATTTCATGTTTACTTCCAAGCAACTGTCAGTTAGTGACAACAGTTTTCTTTTCAATATGGTCTTTTATGATTATTCAAATTACCCACCTGGGTTTCTCAAGTCTCATAAGACTCATCTGTGCCTGGATGTATCCCTCCCCTCCCCCGCAAAAGCAAGAGATACCCATCAAATTACCTCCATACTACTCACAGCCCCCACATGCCCAATGACTATAGTAACTGAACAAGCCACATATCCATACAAGCTATGCTTCACCTGATCATTCAAAGAACCTGATTTGGAAAGCAGTATATAAATGGAACTCCTTTGAACTCAGTGCAAAGCTTTCAGTGTACATGGATAGAAAACAGGATTGGGCATGGACTCTACAGCAAACCAGACCATACATAGGCAGCCATCACTATAAAGTGTAAGTTTTCTATTAATTTGCTGTCACAAGAAATAAGTATAAAAGTTCAAAGGAGATAACTAACAAAGGGGAACACACAGGGGATGCCGTCAACTTAAAAATCAGAATAGGCTAAATCCTTTGCCTTTTCTCAAAACATATTCACTCTCACTCAGATTCTGCTAAATCAATGAATGTTTGCTCAAGTTAAAATTGAGTAACTACTGTAAAAGAAAAAAGAGAGGAAAAAAGTTGAGATTTGACCACCTTTAAAAAAAATCAGAACAATACTTTGTACCAATAAAATTTTGGAATAGTCCAGGTAAGAGAATATTAAAACATCGGATTTATTTTTCACTGTGGATGCTGTTTGTTTACTTTGGGTTTTCTTGGGCCAGACGGTCAAATCAATGAAGTCAGTTTCACTTTGGTCGACCGTCAGTTTCTCTGTGCTGCAGGGTTGGAGCGGTAAACCCTGCAGAGGGAACAGTTTGTTGTTTAATAAACAACTATTTCCACTGGAATTTTGTTAGAAAAAACCAGGAAAATGTTTCTAAGCCTAAGTTTTGTAAAACTCGGTTTAAAACCATGTCTAAATAATGCAATGCTAGATTTGATTTGTTAATTTCTTATTAGCATTTATAAAACTTTTCACAGTGGGAGCCATCTTTCACCATCCAGATCATTGTGGAAAAAGACCTCTAAAATGTTACAAGAATAAAACCAACTGGATTATATAGGGGTATCTCATGCTGTCAGTTTCTGAACAGTACTCCTATTGAGATCATTCTGCTTAAAAACTGAAGGCCAGCAAAAATTAAGCAGGGTTTGCCTGGAATGATTTGAACAACCTAAAGCATCTAACAGAGAATGAGTTCCTTTCTACAGTATTTTTAGAGCATCATATAGAATTCCATGGGGGGGAGGGTATCATTCCCTATTTACATCTAAACATATAAATAATAATGCATTTCTTAAATTGTTCTGCAGCTGTTCTCCCTTATGTGTAAGATGGGCCTATGGAGAAAATGTGGAAATGGGAAAACTGTGAGCAATATTTACAATAATGATATATCCAACTCAGGAAATTACTACAACTGTCTTTATCAAAATAAGCAAGATAGATACTTTTTCCTTCTCTACAACAAAAACAAAAAGCCCTTCTATTAAAATTAAATTTGAGTTGGCATTTGTTTGGAATTTAGGTTTGACTCTCTGCTATCCCTCTGCTCTTGGTCCCATTAAAAAAAAGCCAATGTTGATTTTCATCTTGCAGGAGTTAGAGGCATACATGCGCATGCCATTCAATCCAAAATTGCTTTAGCTACAGGGCATGGCAAAGCATGAAATAACTGCTCCAGAGCACTTCCTCATGTGGGTGTGTTAGATAACTGTCTGCTCCAACATTAAAATAAGCCATACTGTGACCCAATCAACACTGCAGGGTTCTGCTCTGTTAGACTGCAAAGGCCGGGGGCATACAGAACCCAGTCCTACCAGCAAGGGTGCTGAATGCCATGCCTTCCAGCTCTGTTGTGCCCCTTATGCCAAAAGGTTTTTAGCTTCCCAAGTTCCAACTACAGCATCATCCCCTAGATTTAAGTTTACTTAAGCATACTTTACTCTTTGCTGTTGTACACAGATTGAAAATGGACTTTGTGCTGAGCCTTTTCGTAATGCTTTGGTTTCACAGAAAATTAAATCCTTTTCATAAAAAGTTTTGGGGGTTTTTTTAAGGGAAAGGATTTTTTTAATCTTTTTTTTTAATTGGATAAATTTGATTTTTCTCCCATTCTGGTCCTCTCTTTATGCTCTTAATTCTTCTACCCTGGGGTTTTCAATATACTAAAATATATTGTTTAGGTCTTTGAAAGAACAGGAATGGGACGGCTGATTTCTGTTTTGGATATATTTTAGAGTCCAAGAACAGGTTCACAAGAATTCACACAGAAAAAGCTGGGCTGTGTGACAGCATCCACCTGTATTGATTCAGGCAAATGTGGCAGGTGTCTGGAAATGCACACATACACCATGTGAGGGAAGGGGGCCAGAGATGGTTGCTAACATTTCGGCTGTATCCCTTCAGGCTGACCACTGCCAAACTGGCATCAACTGTTCCCCAGTTTGAGACTTGTTAATTTTTGCCATAGTTTCCCCTCCCTCTACAACCAAATCTGAGTTACAAGGTTTGGAGTTGGGGGGGGGGGGGG